CGAGACGGGACAGACAAGGAAAGATTAAGGACCTTGATGTTTGTCTTAGTGTAAAGAAAACACGAAGAAAGGACACATTTTCTCTGGATATCACGAATCATTGCATCCCTAATACAGTTATCAGAACCTTCGTGCTTGGGTTGTATTGCACAGTGCATCAAATCTCTACTCCACAATCACAAATTTGGGGTTCTCTGCCAGCAATGAGAGGGTTTTTCCCAGGCTTGCGTTCTCAATAAAATTCTTTGAGAACCTCACTTAAAATCTGCATATCAGGTTCCGGGGCCGAGATCTCCAAGCCTACTCGGATTGGGGACGAGCATCCTCCACCCAGATCCTCCAAATTCCAGTAGGCGGGGGTCACACCCACCAACTGGCCCCCTGGCGCCATGTAATCTCATCAGCGGCCAAGACCCAGAGACTATAAAAACCAGCTCCCAGAACCGCGTGGCCGTATTTGCGGCTGCGCGACATCTTATTATGACATCTCATTCCTACTTTGGACAAACTAGCAGGCTACCGAATGTAGCCTGCCCACACGGCAGAGTCTGGCAAACTCCCCTTGGAGTACCCAATATGCCAAATACCAATAACAATGATGGGGCTGATTCTCCTAAAGAGCCTTGAGTATAATCTCAAGGCTAGGATGAAGGAGACATTACTGGGGCCTGCTCGAGGCAATCGACGAATAACAGGATGATTTGTGATTTGATTTGTAATCTGCTGTTAGCTAGTACAAGGTAGTAGAAAGAAGCTCATTGTTCATCAACCATTGAAGGAATTGCCAGATGTAGCCCTTCTGCACATGGAATATGATTCTGTAGTTAACGTTTGAACTGTGGACATGTGCTAATGTAGGTGGACCAGGAAAAGCTGTTCTCAGTGAAAGAGGCCAGAGAAAGCTAGATGGCCAAAGTGTGGGAATCTAGAGAAAGAAAGGAATATGGGGTTCAAGACTCAAAGATCAATGGGGAGAGAAAGGGTGATGGCTGAGTGGAGGAGGTTATGGACACCTTCTGAGGATACGAGCTCTATTTTAAAGTGTGGTGAAATTGTTTTAAAAGGTATTTTGGAACTGAAGAAGTAGTACAGCTCATGGGGCAGTTGCTTTGAACATGGTCAAACTGGATTTGATTCCTGGAACTCCATATGGTCCCCTGAGCCCAGAAAGGAGTACTTCCTGGGCAGAGCCAGAGTAAGCTCCAGGAACCATTTTGTGTGACACTAAAACAAATCAAATTGAATGTTGAGAATTGGGAAAATTGTATACACATTAAGGTGCTTGTGTTGCATGTGCACAGCCCTCGTTCTACTGATGTCTAGCACCACGTTGTCCCCTGAGCTATACCAGGAGTGAGTCCTAGAACAAGGAGCTCTGTAGAGCAGTCACTGTTGGGTGTGACCCACGAACTCAGGGAAGAAATAGAAAGAGTCTGTCTCCCACATCTGTGAGAGCTCCTTTGTGTTGCTCTCTCCCATGCTGTGATTTTTCCCAGCGTGATGCTCTCAATCTTTGATGTGCTTTTTGATGCTTTCCAAGGAAAAGGCAGCAAACGTGAGCCTTACCTATGTCCACAGAATTGGGTGGGTCTGCGGAAACTGAGCACATTTCGCTATGGGTGGGGAGGACTCCTCCCTCCTCCAGGGAGCACAATGTCTCACAGGACCCAACCCCTGTAACGCCCTTACCTGTTTTCATCTCAGGATTGTCCAAGGAGCATGAGCGACAGGAGATACCAAGAGTGTTTTCAATGTAATGAAATTTATTAACTATTTACACAATGACACAAAGGGGCTGCTCCAGCACAACCCCACCACTGGGCCCAGCAAACAATACAGAGAAGTCCTAACTGGATGAAGATCAGGTGGAAGACAAGGCTGCTAGGGGCAGCCAGGCTCAGGAGGGAGACCCCGGTTTCCTACTGGATGCTGTACCCATCCTGTACTGTACTCCTCTGGACTACAGCAGGCTGGAACCTTCTCTTTAGGGGCAGGGAAGGGCCCACCAGCTCCACAGTCAAGGCTGAGCCCCCAGACACCCTGGGGTGCTCCCCAGGGAAGGGGGTCTTCTCAGTAGTGCCTAGTTCTGCGCTCCCACACAGAGGCCGCTTCCTGGAAGGGGCAGTAGCGGGGGCAGCAGGACTGCAGGCCCTTCTTTGAGTGGGTTGGGTCCGAGAAGCCCCCCAAGCCCTCGGGCAGCGGGGGTCAGTGTCTGAGCCAGGGCTCATGGGGAAGCCCCAGGGCTGAAGGCTGTGTTGAGAGGCCTGGAGGAAGGCCAGGCTGAGCAGCTCCTCCTCCTCCTCACTGGAGCCCTCTGCTGCCCCATGTGGCCCCTGGCCAGGAGGGGCCTCTCCCAGCATGAGGGAGACCCTGCTGTCCAGAGTAGGGGCAGCGAGGCCGGGACAGGGGGCCTGTTCTGCCTGAAGGGATGGGAATTTCAGGCTCCCCAAAAAGAGGACAGAGGCTCGAGTTGCCATTGCAGTGGCCTCAGCCTGCACAGGCCTTGAGACGTGTCCAAAGTCAGTCTCAGGGGGCAGGATTCAGCGCTGGCCACTGACCTATGGCCCCAGGTAGGTGTTGGTGTTCTGTGGCCTGCTGCACTCTCAGCTAGATTTGAGTCCTTCCGGGTTAGCTGGTGTTGGGGACGAGCCTTCATGACCTCCTTGTCCTGCGCGGGCCGCAGATGCTTTTCCACAATCTGTGGGGAGGAGGGACACTGTGGGCATGTGGGGTGCAGGGTGGGACAGAGAGTGACCCCGACTCATCCCAGAGCAGAAAACCCAGACCTCTGTCACACTAAGGGCCCTTACCGCCGCAAATCGTCCCCTCACCCCATATTCACATCCTCCTCGCCCCTGAAGAGTCAGAGGGAGGCCCCTGGACTTTACCTGGGCAGGGAGGGCACCAAGTGACTAGGCCCCACTGCTGGGAAACCCCTCCCTGACTCACAACCCACCTGCTGCTCTGAGTGCCCTGGGCCCTGTCCCCTGTGTCCCCTTCAGGGTCTCTTTCCCAGGAACCACGTGCAAAATGCCTCCTATTTGCCCTTGGTAGCTGCTCACTGCCTTGCAGGAAACCCTCACATTTTTCCCCTGGGCCCTGCATGGACCCCAGAGACGCATCTGCCTCACCTGTGTGTGGGTGAGACCTTCCTCCTCCTCCAACTCCTCAGCCAGGGCCAGTAGATCCAGCTGGGATTCTGGGGAGAGCAGGTGCTCCAGGAAGCTGGGATGAATGACCGCCTCGACCTGGAAGGGGGAAGCAGTGGTGTGGGTCCTCATAAGGACCAATGGGAATGAGGAAGCAAACACACCCGTTCCCAGCACAGAACAGGGGCTTGGACGGCTGCACAAATTCTCACACAGACACAAACCGGGAGCGCTCACACTCACACACACACAGGCCCAGACAATCCGCACTCACAAAGGCACATGGACTATTTATCTACTCTCACAGAGAAGCAAATGTAAATACACATGGATGCATATACACACATGACACAAAGACACACACTCTTCGACCTCTAGGAGCATGTACATGTATCCTCTTATGTTTCTGCACAGAGCTCACACAGTACACACAGATGGAGACACACAGAGATGTTCACACATCGGCCAAACCCAGAAATGCACAAACAAGGGCCGATGTTTTTACAGAGAGACACACGTGCACACATGGACACAAACACAAGTAGAAAAATGCAAGCACGGGTGGTCTCAAAGCAAAGAGCACACGTCACTACCAAGCCCTGGACAGAAGCAGTCCTGCACCCTCCCCACCCCACAGCAGAGCTCAGTTCCCCACCTTGGTGACAAAGGACTCCTGGGAGCACAGCTCATCCACGTAGCTCAGGAGTCCCGGCTCAGGGCAGGTTCTGGCCTCCTCCTGCTGCTCCTCCCTGCCCACTGCCCGTCGCCCGAGGGGTGCCCTCCTGACTGTGTCGGGGGCCTTCAGCAGCTCGTCCATGATGTCCATGTACTCCTGCACGGCCTCAGGGGGGATCTCCTTGGGGGCCTTGGTCTTGGGGGCCCGCTGTGGTTTGTGTGTCTTGGGTTGGGCTGCCGGAGCCCGGGTTATGGCCTTCTTAGGGACACAGGCTGAGGAGGAAGGAAGAAGAGAGGGATGTGAGGGGACCCAGGTCCATGCCCTCAGACACATAGCACTGAGCACAGAGTTGCGGATGGGTACCTGTGGGCTGGGTCAGGTGTGTGCCTACATCTGTTGTACTATAATTCCGTGACTGCGTGAGGGATGAGGATAACCTCAATGGGAGGAGGGGCCCACAGTGTCCCCAGGGTCTCCAACCCCACTTCAAAAGTGAGTCTGACACCCTCAAGCAGCATGGGGTGTGCAGGAAGAGGGAGAAAGCCAGGAACAGGGGGCCGCTGAGCATAGGCCTAGGGGTACATGGGAGAGTGAAGGCTCCCTGGAAGGGCAGGAACCCTAGGGCCTTCCCAGGCCTGTGACCATTAGCTGGGGAACAGGGTCTGTACCTGGCTGCTGGCCTAGTGGTTGACCCTGAGCACCCTGAGGCTCAGGCTTGGGTGGGGCAGGGGGTGGCTTGCCCTGCACTCCATTCTTCAACTGCAGCTTCTGTGCCTCCGTTTCTTCCTCACCCTCAAACTCCATGAACCTGGTGTGGGGAGTACAGGCCCCACTGAGTCGGGCTGGCTTGGAGCACGCAGGATGAGGTAGGACAGGGGATGCTCATGGAAAAGCCCTCAGGAGGATGGAGAATGGATGGGCACAGACCCCAGCACCTCCAGTGATTCCCCATATCAGCCCTTTGAGGGTCACAGAAAATAAGGGACTGTGACCCTTAGACTGTGGTCAGGAGCCCCAGAGCATGGTGGGCAGAATTGTCCCAGCCCCAGGTAGGACAAGTTTCTGCAGGGGACGGGCCTTCTGGGGATACCAGGGCCCCCCTGGCCATCTGGAAGTAACCCCTGAAGCCCCGGCCCGCAGCCAGCCCCAACTCCCACACTCTGCCCAGGACTGACTCACTTGGCAACCATGTCGTAGTAGATCATGCGGTCAAAGTTGCTCATGCCATGCCATTCCCGCAGGGCGCAGCGCAGGCCTTCCTCCAGGCTCATGGTGGGCTTCAGGCTGGCCAGGGTGCGCAGCACTGGGCTACAAGGACAGGCTCGGTCAGGGTCTGCGTCTGCTGGGAGCCCCCGCTGCCCCACACCCATTCCTTGACCCCCGATGGCGGCCTGGTCTCCCCTCCCCTCCCAGAGTTGACTCGCCTCCTACACCCCAGACTGGTGGCTATTCTAGTGTCAAGCCTCAGCTCTGGGGATAAGTCATGAGACGCCAAGGCTGAGCAGTCATGCCTGTCTGAACCTTGGTGCATCTGTGCTGTGTCTGGTCCTAGGAACAGAATGTCTGTCCTTCATTCCATAGGTCAGGACCAACCCTGAGAGGGGACTGAGCTGAGGCTTTAAGGCATGGCTTTTGAGCCAGAACCCTGGGATGGCATTCCTGAGGACATTCTCTCCCATGGACCCTACGCTGGGGGTCACACCAGTACCTTCTGGGAAGCTACCATTAGTTCTAGAACACCTGAGGGACTCACATGAGCTAGCAGGGAAGGGCCTCAGTGTCCGGAGTCTGAGGAATGTACTGCCGGGTCAGGGCCTTGAAGCTCTGCCAGTGCCGGAAGCTCTCACAGATGCTATTGGGACTGCTGGAGGTTTTTGGCAATGCCTGGTTTCGGGTGGTGGCCAGACCACTCTACCCACAAACCCACTGGGACAGTGGTCCACCTCTGCATGGAAGCATGATGGGAGCCACCTGGGCCACTGGCAGTGGAGCCTGAGGAGGATGGTCTCTCGTTCCAACCTGGGTGACAATAGTAGCTGGAGTTGGAATAACGGTCTCCAGCACAGACGATACCAAGTAGAGGGGTGCAGGATGACCGACCATGGCTGATGGAGCCTCTGCGGCCCCACAGTTGAGTGGAGCCTGTGTCAGGATGACAGGCTGGTTCTGGGCTGACTCTACAAGCCCTGCCTCAGGGCTGACCTAGATGATGACCTTGCAAGGTCCAGGGACATGGGGTCCATGGCCAGCAGCTCCTGCCACCACAGGCATCATGGGGAAAGGTGACAGCACCAGAGGGTTGCCAGGAGCAATGACCGAGGTCACCAGAGGGGGCATCTGGATCGGTTCCCAGGGTGGTGGATGGGGGAGCCCTGGATTGAGAAAGAGCGAGACCTTGAAAGCAGAGCCGAAGACCCCAAGATTCATGGGTCATCTCTGGGAGCAGCACAGGAGACACTGTGGACAGGAGGGAGGAGGAGTGAGAGGGAGATGGTACAGAGGGAGGCCCAGGAGGGCCTGGCTGGGGCAACATTCCATGAAGGGATCTCATTGGAGGATCAGAACAAGAACTTTCCTTCAAACTTGTCAGTTGCAGCACAGCTCATATGGCCTCTTCCAGCAATTTAGACAGTTTCCCGATTCTCAGCACACAGGTTGGCATGGTCTTCGCTGTATCTCAATACTTTATCCACCAGTCTAGTTGTGTGCCCCTCAAATCTTTCTCCTTCCTCTCTCCCTGATGACCTCCTTCAACAGAGTCTACTCTTTCTTTGGAAAATTCAGTCATTAGTGACCTGTGAACCCCTGTAGGTCACAATTTGAACGGAGTTTTCCTCAGCAAATGCTGTGGGTTTTGCTTTTTTGTTTGTTTGTTTTGCTGATCCTTCTTAGGGTCCAGTCCCTAGGACTGAAAGTAATGTAGATTTGTCTAACATGTTTGACTAGCTTTTTCAAAGTTTGGTTCTACTGGAAGCTCTTATCCTTCCTAGAATAGCCACGAAACCTCAAGTTGGAACAGCTACCAAACTCAAACTGACTTTCTTTGCATTTGCAATATATTTTATGGATGATTTGCCTCCTAAATAAAACGTTGGATCAAAGAATATCTTTAATGGTTCAAAGCTAAGCTTTGACAAAAGTCAATGATGTGTGTTTAATGCAGTGCTGGGTGTTCCGTTCTACTTTCTCTGGTCAGTACAATTCTCTCCCACACCAAAGTAGTTTTCTGTTGTTAACATAATTCTAGATATGTACTATGTACTGAAACCCCAAAGAATCTCATTTTTTATGAACTCATTATTGGTTTCCACTCTGGTTAAAAGCACATGTATGTTCTACCAGCTGGCATGTGTAGTGATTTTTTTATATTCATCAAACGGCTTCTCTCTTTTTCAGGAGACTCCATCCCCACAGCATGAAATTCTGCAGGCCCTAACTAAATCCTTACAGTGTCTGGCAATTCAGTGGCGAATGGAATAGGGAGGTCTGAATTAGGAAGTGGAGCAGAAAGGAAGTGCAACTGACTTCAATGTTCAGATCAGCAACAAAGTCACCTTCTGCATATTTTCATCCGTGGTTGGGAAAACCTGATTCAAATTTCCTCTACACTCTTTTCTTCAGTGTTTATAAGAAAATAATTTTTCAGTCTAGTTTTGGAACGATTTATAAGATCTCCCCAAAATCTCAGTCTGAAAGGATTTGGGAATATGCATTTATATCGCTCCAGCCCATATACAACATTCATTGCACTCTTTGGCCTCTATGGAGGGAATGACCTGCTCAGTCAGTAGCCGTCAGATCATTCCATCCTATGCAGCGCGGCAAGCTGCCTTTGCAGACACCAATCTCCGGACGCTTCCCAGCAGTTGCTCTGTCACTGTACATTGGTTCAACAGGGATATCCAGGTCATAAGAATTCTATCAAAATCAAGAACATCCTTCCCCAAACAATGTTGGACAGAGGGAACGAGGACTCGAGAAATTTCTTGAAACTTCCAATTCGGTCATGAAGAAGCTATACTTGATTTTCAGCCAGGGATTTCTCATTAGATGGATTTTGAGCTTGAACTTTGTCCTCAGGCTTCAGGCAAGACTTTATGTTTGCTTCCTTGCTGTGTCCTGAAAAGCCACCTATAATTCTGGAGGCTCTCGTGCGTTCGTGACTGGTGGAAGTTTGCACCCACCACGGCCCGTAGGTGCGCGCGCACTGGGGCTGTCCTGGGTCAGTTCTAAGCAGTTAGAGGTAACGGACACGCACGCGCACCTGCAACTCGCGCGGGGTCTGCAGCTGCCAACGTCCCACAGGCTATGGGTGTAATGATTCCCCTTTGGGATATTTGCACCCATGCCTCTATCAGATTCAACAGAGAGGTGTGTGTCTCTGTCCAGCTGTCTGCAGGGGCGCATCTCCCCCAGGCTGTGGGCACCACCGCACACCTGCGCCATGTCGTTTCCGGATCCGGATGCTGAGCGCGAGGGAGGTAAAGGACTCCTGGGACCATTCAAACTGCTTCTTGGGGTCAGAGCGATACTGCAGTGGGCAGGGCCATTACCTTGCATATGACCAACATGGCTTCCATCCCCGTAATGCCAGATGGTACCCTGAGTACTGCCAGAGTAATTCCTGAGTGCAGAGCAATTACTGAGCACAGTCAGTGTAGCTTAAAACCAAAACAAAAGAATCCCAAAACACAACAGCAATAAAACAGCAGGAGCAAACTAACCCTATTACTTTGTGGAGCTTTTTTGTATGATACAAAAGCAGACAAAGTTTTTTCTTATTAAAAACATTAGCCCTTGAACTTGAAGAAACTCAGGTCAGTCGTAAATGGGGAAAATCTCTAACACAAATAGAAAATGAATACATAGAAAAGCTTCCCCTTTTTTTCCCAAAACGTTTTAGGAACCAGCAATTAGTTTCCATCACTATACCCTCGTTAATAAATGAAACAGTTTTCGTGACTTAAAATAATGGATCAATCATAATATGACGTCCAATTGTTGTGCAATTGATAGCCAGGTTAGCAGGAGATGCAAGAACAAAGCAAATATCAACAAAGATACGTAAGGTTCAGTTTAGCTTACAAAATTGACAGTGAAACTATATTTTTGTACATTTTAATGCCTTAAAATATTTAAAATGTGTGTTCATTATCTGTAGTACTTTTGGACACAGACACTTCATTTACAGAGAACAGGTAGAAGTGTTCCAGCCATTGTCAGCTCACAAGTACATGGGTGTAATGCTGCCATCCCAGATCTGTTTGAGTTGAAGCATCGTGATAACCAGTTCCAAGAAACCAGTAGGATGGCCAAGTGGCAGAAACATGCATTTCAGGTTGTTTACTTCAGTAAGCAGTCAGGGAAATTTGGGGCCCAGCAGAGCAAGCTGAACATGGTGACCCATTAAATATGAGGGACCTGTGGTGGTGGTGGTTCTGGTATTATGGCAACACTAATTCAGTTTCCTTCATCCCACAAAGAATTTGTTAGGATGATAAATATCTGCTGGAGAAAGGGCAAGTGCAATTGGAAAGAACCTTGAGAAAACCCAGAGGGAAGGAAGACGGTGTACTGGGCAGACAAGGCAGCAGCTCACTGAGTGTGTCCACTCTGTCCTGGGAGTAGCCAGTCATGGAAGCTCTTATGAATTCTTTCCCAAGGACACAGAATGAAGGGTGTCCTTCATTTTCCCCATGAGCAACTTCGGGAGTTTAAGTTGCTTTGTGTACCTGAGGAGTGAAGGTCCAGTGTTGGTGTGTTTGCAAAGTTAGGCACATATGTAGTGGTCATGGCATGTGGTTTTCAGCATGTTATACGTGCATTGCACAACTAAGGTCATATATGTTGTCATCAGTAACTCTCGACGTGGGTGCCTTTCCCCACCATAGTCCTCAGATCACCTTCAGTCTGCTTCTTCCTTGACTGAGGATTTCTTAGTGTAATCAAAAGTCAAGACTTTCTCTTCATTCAGGATTTTAAAATTACCTTCTTTTGTTTAAATAGTACGCTGAGATCATACAATATTTGTCCTTGCTCTGAATTATTTTGCTAGTCAGGATGCCCTCCATCCATCCAAATTGCAGGAGTCTGCAAGATTTTACCTTTTCTTGTAGCTGAGTAGGGTTCTGTTGTTTGTGTTTATACTACAACTTTATCCGTTTATGTGTCCATTTGGGGTTTTTCTGAGTATTGTACTTAGCACTGCAGTGAATATAGGAGTGCATATATCATTTTGACTTTTCTATTAAGGGGTTTTGGTGGTAACATGCAAATGTGAAATCACTAGGTCTTTTGGAACCTATATTCTTGCTCCACTACCCAACTCCAGGCCACTTTCCACACTCTTGGGCCGAGCCTCCCATCTGAGTGAACATATTCCTGGCCACATCCCTACCCATTTTCCATAATTATAGCACCAATATGATGGGTTTCAGACAGTAGGTAACAAATCATAGAGGAAATATATATATTTATATATATAAATATATATATAAATATATATAAATATATATTTATATATAGTTTCAGACAATAGGTAACAAATCATAGAGGAAATTTATAAATATATATATATATATATATCAGACAGTCCAGCAATCTACTGAGAGTATTCTGCCCATACTGGACAGCCTGGCAAACTACTCATGGTGTATTCGATATGCCAAAATTATTAAAATAATGAGTCTTATTTCCCTGACCCCTGAAAGAACCTCCAATCATTGGGAAAGACGAGTAAGGAAATGCTGCTAAAATATCAGGGCTGGGATAAATGGAGACATTACTGGCACCTGACTTCATTGAGCTCATCAAGTAAATTGTTGAACAACAGGATGACAGTGATAGAGTGATTCTTGCTTTTAGAGAAGTTTCCAAACTTTTCCACAGAGGTTCAGCCAAATGTTGTTCCCACAGACTGTGAATGAAATAGCACCCCTTTTACACCACCCCTTCTCAGTACTGGTTGTTTCCAGATATATATATATATATATATACACACACACACATATATATATATGTATATATATACACTCACACACATATATGTATATATATCAGTTATTTTTAGATATATATTTAGCGAAGATATATATATCTTTCTGACTCTTGTGACTTGAAATTCATTGCTTTTTAATTTTTGCTTTGCATTTCTTAGATAACAAGTGACTAGTAATATCTTTTCAGATGTCTGCTGGCTTTACTTAGACATTTTGGGAAAATGGATGCTCATCTCCAATTGTATGTAATTGTTGAG